TATATATATATATATATATATATCTAGTATACTTTGATGTATATATTTTTATATATACATATATATGTATATGTATATATGTTTATATATACACATATAATAATAAAGGAGATATATGAGAGACCTGATTAATATATATTTTGTACATATATACTTGGATTTATTTCATATAGATACATATACATAAAAGTGAAATTAAAGATCACTTTATCAAACATGTTTTGTTTCAAACATTTTTAAATATACAAACTTCGATAATATTTTTCAATAAAATAAATTTCAAGATTCAATGCTTACATGAAAAACATAAACAATAAAATGAAAATCAATGATATTTAAATATTTGAACTAATATTTTTAACTTCGAGAGAAATTTGTCAGTCGTCTAGAAAACGAATTAGGCAGAGACATACGACCTTGTATCGACAAAACATTCGCCGCTCCAATAAAAAACGGAGGATGACAATCCCTTACAATTTCCAAATATCAATTCTTTGTTATGCAAACCATCGTCTCTCCATCTGCACGATTCAATCATATTAAAAGTATAAGCGAGGCACATGTCTCTCCTAAACCCATCGAACATAGCGTTCGAGAGGATATTCATTTGAAAAATATAATAAAATATAAATATTAATTAGTAAGAATATGAAACATATTGTAAAAATCAAGAGATAAAGATGATTTATTCATGTATTTATACGAACCTATATGATTCTTTCATAAAATCATTAAAAGTATTAACACCAAATTTGAGCATATAATATATTGAAATTATAATTACGAAATTTCGAAGGTAATACAATTTTATAAAAATAAAAATGTAAGAAAAATACTCAATAAAAAATAACGAAAGAACTGAATAACATAATGAAAAAAAATCAAGAAAACCTAATTTCAAAAGGGAGCCGGTTTTATCAAAACTACCATACGTTTTTTATAGATTATAATAAGTGAAGATTTTAAATTGAATTTAAATAAATTTAAATTAAATTAATTACTATTAATATTAAATTAAAAAATAAAACTATTGAGAGTTTCCAAGTAAGTTGATATATTTAGACATTTTATAAATGGTATGATATAAATATATAATAAAATAATTAAATATCTTTTTAATTTTGGAAAATGGTGACATGTTTTTTGATAATTTATTTTCACCAATCAATTTGCAAAATTGGATGAAATTGAATACAGGTCACCAATTGAAATTGACAAATGTCAATCAATTAGGTGTGGAATTTAACTTTTATATATTATATAGATATATAGATTCGTGTTTTTATAGGTTTATTTGAAATGAATGTGAAAGAGTGATTCTATTTGTAGTGAAATTTGGATTTGTGAGTCTATGTCAAATTCGCGCAAGATCATAACTGAAATAACTAAAGTTACAAATATTAAGCCCATAAAAGGATTCATTTATAAAACAAAGACTCTTTTTGGATGTCTTGATAGAGGAATAAAAGCAAAAATTTTGAGATAGAAGTGTGACATTGTGTGTTCTTGAATTTTTACCATACAATGTTTAAGCTAAACCAAAAGAATTGATAACCAACTAGATAAATGATGATAGGGAACTTTTCTTATTTTGTAATGAATTTCATTCAACACTCCAATTTGGCAATTTATTAAATAAGGGCTGATTAAAGAAAAAGGGGGAGACTAATTTAATTTTCATTAGATGTAAGGCTGAGTTTATTTTGGTTTTCGATCAATTCAACCCCCACAATTTTTACGTTACCCCAAATTGTCGTGCACTCAAATCTTGGCTAGCTCTTTCCAATGTGCGCTGCGGTCAATTGAATGTTTATCTCTCGACTTCACGAACTGAAAGAATTGATATGTCGGGCGATTTATCATCTAAAGCATGCTTGCTTAAAGGCCATTTTTAGCCTTCTTGATATATGAATTCGGAATTGAGTTTACTATCCACACAATTTGATTTTTGAGTTTCTTAATCATCGTTTCGAGTATTCTTCCATTTATTATGGTCGATTCAAAATCTATGTAACATGGTCAACTGAATAGCTCGATTAATATGGTCAACTAGGAAAGTCAACTGAATATATATGATGTTGACCAATCGACCTCTTTATATTAAGGAAAAAATGAGCAGATAACAAGAGGGAGAAAGACGAGAAATCGAGAAGTAAAATTGTGAGAGACAAAGGCACCCTCTATGAAGGGCAAATGAGTAAAATGATAGTTAAATGTCAATTAGAAGATTTATCACAAATAAAAATATGGGGCAATTTGCTATAGGTCCTCCTATAAGAGATTTTATGTCTATAAATCCAACTAATAAAACTCAATTTTTAGTAAATTTATTATTTTTAATATGTCAAAAATATCCCTAACAATATATGGAAATAAAAATCTCCAAAATAAATATCCCATAATTTTCTCCTTGCAGTTAATCAACCCATTCCAAAATTTCACGTATTCTCAAATCTCAATCTTAAATCTCAATCTCAAATTCAACCACTCTCAAGAATCGATTCCATCAAATTTCACCGCTTCAAAACATCGATTTCATCAATACCAAACCTAACCAAAAATCGCATTGAGTCTGCCGTTTGCAATTCACAAAATTTTGTTTGTTGTCTACGCTGTGAAATCAGTTTTTTTTTTCTTTTCTCGTTTGCTATTTGGAGATCGTTTGTTGTTTGAAGACATCGTCTGTTGTTTCTTCATTTGTTGTTTGTGATTTCTACAATGGCTCAAACACAATTTAGTCTCAGTAAGCAATACTCCTATTAACTACATGTATATATGATTGTTCGATTTTTTCAATACTCATTCAAAAACCCGTTTTTTTTTTCTTGAGACAGCGAACGAGGATGATGAATTCGAATCCCCGAGAAATCAGATATAAATTGCAGGGTTTGTTGAAGTTAGTAGTCGGGTTATATTTTTTTTAATTGCAGTTTGCACTTTGCGATTCTCTATTGCAATTGAAGTTGTTATTGGTTGTTTGCAGTTCATGTTTGGTCTTAATTGGAGTCCGTATTAATTGTATGCAGTTCATGTTGTTTTCATCTCCAATTAATAATTGCTATTAATTTCTTTTAAATTTTACTTAAGCAGTTTTTATTAAGCTACTTTGTTTACACTTTGAAACATGTTTGCTGCAAGAGACATTTATTTGCAATTGTAATTTTTACTTTGAAACTATTTTGTAATGTAATGCTTGTCGTATGTTGACGTTCTTGAGTTGCGAATTATGTTGTTAGCAATTAGGTTTACATTGTACTCTAATTCTCATAAATTGGACTTTAGATTAGTTTTTCTCTTTTTACACATGTTTGCAATTAATTTTCTATTTGCATTTTTCAGATTATTTTGCAAATCTTGTTTGAACTTGCGTATGTTGTTTGTTGTTTGCAATCATAATTCTTTTTTGTTATTTTCCTTAACTTTGCAATTAGTAAGTCGTGGTTAAAGTTTGCAATTTATTTTTTGTAGGTTCAAGATTGTACATTATATCCTATCGTGAGATTGTTTCAACCCATACATGCCTGGGTAAAAAAGAATGAAGACACAAGTATTGTTTTATATCGTACAAGATTGTTTTATATCGTACAATCATTATCACATTTTGTTTCATATTCAACATCCACTGCAAAAAAAAGGATCAAGTCATTGTTCAACAAGATCGAAGAAAAGAAAAGCAATATTAAATGCATGCGGACGTGCGCAGAATCAATGTCAATGTGTGATAATAATCTTATAATTTAATTTGCACTTATAAGTTGCAAGTTGCAGTTTTCTATTTTATGTTGCAAATTTATTATGTTGTTCGAATTCTTTATTTTGTTATTTGTTCAAGTAAAACTAATTAGAAAATGCAAACAAAAAAATGCAATATTGTCGAGAACATACAAAATAACAATTAAAATCCAACACATATGATCTCAAGAAAATTAATAATTGAAAGATTGCTATAAAATACTTATGTAAAAAAAAATTAAATATTTTTATAAAGTAATAAAGAATTAATTTTCAAATTAGTTGCCTTGAGAGAGAGTGAAATACGTGTGTGAGAGAGAAGGGATGAGAGAGAGATGTGTGTAGGTGTGATGGGATGGGAGAGATGTTTGACCGTGTAGAAAGGAGAGAGAATGAGAGATTTGTGGTATTTGTTCCCTTAATTTCTAAAATAATTATTTACAAATAAATATTAATTGGGGGCATCTATGTCTATACACTAATAATTTAATTTAATTTAATTGATCAAGGACCTACACCAATATTCATCTAATGGATTGGATCTCCACCTATATAAGTCTAGAATAAGGGGTGTCTAGCCAATTTCCCCTAAAAATATAAACCCAAAGGACTTCAAATTGAAAAAAAAAAAAGCATATCTCTATATCTAATTCATGTATCTTAGTGAGAGTTTTCTATAAAATTTTCCATTAAATAAACCATGTCCACCTTAATTAGTGGAGGAGTATAATACATTTTTTTGGGGAATCTAGTAGAAATGACACTTCATTTACTATAAATTAAAAGGAAAACAAAAAATATTTCAGAGTTTATGAAAATGAAACTCTGATATACTTTGGTGAATTAGTTATTTAATTTTGGTAAACGAGAAGAAACCTTCAACATTATTTATGCAATATTCATATTCATATCACCATCTAATAACTTGTCTTAATGTCTATATAGTAATCCGATATCCACTTTTGGATTATCTCGATTTCTTGCTTTCTCTGCTCGATTAGCCAATCGGGATCTTTCCTCGTTGCGCGACGCAAATCGGTATGGTGTGCTCCTGTTTCAATGACCCAATTTTAGGCAATATCTGATAACAAATGAATATTTAATCCTCTCTCTTAATTATATATATATACACACACATATACATATACATATACATATATATAGTTGCCTTTGATGAAATACCTTTCTCAGCTACAAGAGCCACAATGCTGGTAGATATGTTTTTCAGCACGCTAAGCACAAACAAATTGATAATGTCAAAAAAATTAGTCATTTGTCACACTTAATTACTACCAAGGGCTAAAAGTATTAATATGAGAGAAAATTATAGTTTCATCCCTCAAGCTTGCACCGATTTCACATTTAATCACATGTTCACAAAAAAAAACACATTTGGTCCCTCATGGTTTCAATAATTTAACATTTTTGGTCTTTTCCGTCAATTTACGCTCAGTCCTTCATCTAAGACGATGATAGACACATGCTTGATTCCATTAGTACTAACGGAAAATTGACAGAAATGACTAAAAAGTATTGAATTTTTGAAACATCAAGGACCAAATGTATTATTGGTGCAAATTTGAGGTATATATATATATATATATATATATATATATATATATATATATATATCAAGGTTCTAAAAGGCGGTTATCGGGTATGTGGCGGTAAGGGACCGCCACACGATAAATCGGCGCGGCGGTGATTTATCGGAGATAAATCGGAAATATATCGGTTTTTAAATATAGTGTAATATATTTCTAAATATTATTTGTAAATACTTAAAATATATATAAAAGAATATTTAAACATAATTCTATCCTATCATTTATATGTTATTATATAATTCTAATTACTCAATAAATAATAAAAATTTAAAAAAATAATAAGATCATAATATAATAAAAGATTCTTACGAAATACAAATACTACGCAAGTCTTTCGCATCAACAATTAATATAAACACAACAAAGCATAAATTGCGGAGTAGTACTTGATTTGGTTTTGGAAGTTGAAAGAATTGGAGAAAAACAAAAAATCAAAACATATTTTCATTTTAATTTTAATTTAAAAAAAAAAAAAAAAAACGATTTGTTGACCGATATATCGGTTTGACCCGCCAAAAAACCGCCGCAAACCGCCTCGCCGTAAAAAACCGATATTCCAAACCGCCTCAACAAAATCGTAAAGGTTTATAACCGATACCGATATGGCGGCCGATATATCGACCGCCACGACTGCTATTTAGAACACTGATATATATATATATATATATATATATATATATATATATATATACATATATATATATATATATATATATAACACTACACTTGCATCAGTGCATGCATGTTTTCAGTACTGACCTGCCTCTGCTCCATGGATCCTGTAGTCCATTAGAAAATATAATGTTGCTACCAAACCTCTTCAGCACTTGTTCGATATTCTACGAAGTACGTATAAATTTTAGATAAATCGGTGACAATTTTTTGTAATAAAATTTTTTAATGAAAAAAAAACGAGAAGAAAAAGTTGTCGTGTACTCACAGTGCCACCGAATTCGGTAGTGATCCAGTGTGGACGAGGCCTTACTCCGTAATTTTTGAGGCAATCATCTGAAAAATCTTTGTAACTGAATTGATATGGAGGAAACATGCTCTCGTTTGAAATTGACATCGGCATTACCATCTCCGTACATGCCTAAAACATTTTTATTTATTTATTTAAAGATCATACATAATCCGTTTATACTGAGAAAAAAAGAACGAAAAATATATACCCGGAAATGATTTATATAAGTTTCGATAAATGGTTTCGAAGAAAATTAGTTTCTCCATTTTCATAAATGCAGAGGAAAAAGGACAACTTGCGAGCTTCGAAATCATCTAAACAATTTTTTTTCCTAGATTTAAACTAATAATTAATGTAAAATTAACAGTTTTCACCTCTCAAGTTTGCAACAATTCCACATTTGGTCCTCCGTGTTTACAAAAACCGCATTTGATCCCTCCTTTTTCAATAATTTGGCACTTCTGGTCATTTCCGTAAATTTTACCCTTAATCCGTCAGTTATGGTAGTGATCGGAACACATTTGATTCTGTTTAGTTTTAACACAAAATTGACGAAAATAACTGAAAGTGTCGAATTTTTGGAACATGAGGGATCAAATGTGTTTTTTGTGAACACGAGGTACCAAATACGAAATCGGTTCAAGTTTGAGGGACGAAAACTGTATTTTTCTCATTAATTAATTAATTTAAAATTTTTATTTACCTGCCAATTCCAACCATGGAGGCCATGATCATCATTTTCATTTTCTAACTCGAAACATTTTTCCGTACGCGAGTAATTGTAATATAAACTTGCAGCTTCGAAAACTCTGCTAAGCTTTGTAGTTTCCGGCGACAATCCATCAATGATCTTACACATCTTCATCCACAAAAAATAAAAATAAAAAGTATTAATTAATTTGTCAAAATAGAAAATCTACATTAATTAATTAATGATCTACCATGATTAAGTATAAGACCTGTTTCACCGGATGGGCAGGTAACGGCTTAATAAAATTGGACTCTGTCGGATAATTCGTCATTGCTACATAAACAAAGGCTTCCCACAGCCAATCTCGAGCCGAGTAAATCGATCGAACTTCTCTTTAATTAATATAATAATCACCGTTACTATAATATTCTCCGTCGAAAAAACAAATTAAATAATGATTTTTAGCTTACTTGCAAGCTCGAAAATTCCGACTGAGTTCGGCTAAACCTTGTTTGTATCTCGGAATGTCTTCCAATTCAGCCCAACTGCCCTTTATTACTTCATAACAATTTAAGCTTGCATCCTGTCGTCCCGAAAAAAAAAATTATTTAAACAGATTTCGCTAATATAATATTTTATTTTCGTTTATATAATTTCGGTTTTTAATAAAACCTTGAAATCCTGGGAAACAGCATCATAGAAACTAGACCAAGGAGTGATGTCATCAAACTGCAAGATTGGTGCTGAAGAAGCCAATGCTCCAATTGCAATGTGAGGGTATTTCAGTCTAAACCAAGCAGCTAACACTGAATTATGACATCATAAATATTAATTAGTGATGATTATTAAATAGTAAAAAAAAAAAAAAACTTGTGAAAAATAAAGTTATGAATTTTTGGGACTCACTTCCTCCATAAGACCCTCCAAATACAACAACAGGGGATGAGTCTGAAGATAAGTTGTGTTTCAAACTTCTTATTAGAAGAGCAAAATCAGCCATAGCTTGTTGTGAATTTAGGTACCCTAATTTCTTTGCAGACTTGTACGAATCCTTCCCGAACGGCTTCGATTCTCCGTAGTATCTATGCTGAATTTTTTTTTAAGCGAAAAAAAATAGAAAAAAATAAAAAAATTCCAACATCAACTTCAGTTATAAACCGAGGTCGAGCCAGCATATGGCCAAGGGGCCATGACCTCCGACATTTTTTAAATTTCTTTTATTTTATAGGGGAAATTACGGTCACCTTCTGAAGTAAGGTCAAATTACCAAAAAAAAACTCTTTATGTTTGGTTTATTACAACCACCCTTCAACTATGAATCTTTTTACACGGTCGCCCTTATAGTGTCGAACTCAACATAATTTTCTAGATTGCATGAAATGTTCACTAGTTTGTACTCGTTTTGTGCAAAAATGTAGTTTTTGATGCACCACAATCTGATAAATCTGATATTTATTAGACAAGAGATGTATCTTAAAATCATCTTGTTTAAAAATGTGGAGCTCGAATGGAGTTAAGCGGTTACAACCTAGAGAATATTCCACATAATCTAGAAGATTCTACTAAACTTGATACCGCAAGGGTGGATGTGTAAGAAAATTCATAGTTGAAGGGTGGTTGTAATTACCCCAAACATGAAAGGTTTTTTTCGTAATTTAACCTTACCTCAGAAGGTGACTGTAATTTACCCCATTCGAGCTCCACATTTTGAAACAAGATGATCATAAGATGTGTCTTTTGACTTATAATATCAGATTGTGGTACATCAGAAACTGCATTGTTGCACAAAACAAGTACAAACTAGAGCATTTTACGGAATCTTGAATATTATATTAAATTTGACACCGCAAAAGTGAACGTAATTGATGGGTGGTTGTAATTACCTAAACAAACAGGAAGAGTTTTTTTGCAATTTGACTTTATCTTAGGGGCAGGGGTGACCGTAATTTACCCTATTTTATATAAAAATTTAAGTTTTTTTGTACATAGCAGGCAACATTATCGGACCCCCTCATAAAATTCTAATGCATTCGCCTCTCTCGGATTTAAAATACTGGCTCAGCAAGCAGTTGTTTGAAAAAAACATCAGCTAATTTAGAGCCTGTTTGGCTAAGCTTATTTAAAACATCTTATAAGCTCCTACATCTGATAAGATGTTTTAGGAGCTGATAAGCTGTTAGATCTTATTTTAAAAATTATTTTATAAGGTGTTTGGATATGTAGCTTATAAGTTACTTTTAGTTTTTATGAGTTGTTCAGGTGTTTGGAAATAAAAGATCTGTTTATCGCTATAATGACAAAAAAGTACATGACGCCATTATAAGTTTATAACTGTTAAACTTATTTGACTCAAATACTTTTATTCCTAAAATATTATTATAATATTTATAAATTATTTTTTCAAATAAAAATAATAATATTAAATTATATATTAAATAAACTAAATGATTTTTTATGTATTTCGATATGATATATTTGACTATTTTATAAAATAAATGAAGTGTAATAAATATTTTAATGAAACAGGTTCGTGAAAGTTTTACTTTTTTGTCCCATTAATTTATTAATATAAAATAAAGGTTGTAAAAGAAATATAATTTTTTTTTATAGACAAAAGAAATATAATTTATTATTGTGATAATAAGAATACTGGGATATTTTTATATACATAAAATATAAATAGAGAATATTTTTTTTACTATTATGATAATTATATTTTAATTAAGTATTAATCTTGATTACAAGAATACGTTGTTTTGATAAAATATAAATGTTATTAGTATTCATGTAATATAATAAAGTATTTGAGGGCAATTTTGTATTTTAAGTGTTTTAGTAAAGAAGCAAATAAGATCTTAAAGAAAAGAAAAAAGGTGGGGTAGAGGTACTTTTTAAAAAACATCTTATAAGCTCCCTAACAGCTTATTTTTGGAAAAAATAAGATCTTTTGTAACTTTTTTACCAAACACTTTTTAACAACTTATAAGCTCTTAAACATCTTATAAGATGTTTTTAGGAGCTTATAAGCTTAGCCAAACAGGCTCTTAATGTGGGATTTTTATTAAAATATCCAACCACACTCCATCAAAATCCTTGAAAAAAAAATCAAGAAAACTCTGAAATAGTGACAACATGCATATATATTGAGAGATGGAATTTATGTGGGACCTCAATGAAGACAAGAAGAGCACGAAACCGGGGAGCAACATCAAGCAAGAAGCCAGTGTTTGCAGCAAACCAATCAATATCTCCTTCGTTGCCTGTGTATACAAATATGGGAGCTCCCTTTTGCCAGAAATCTCTGTTAATAAGATATTTCTGGTTGAAGATTCTGTAACTCTGTGGCAGAAATGTGAAGTGGTCTAAATTCTGAGGGAAGTAATGGGTTTCGTATGGTATTTCGGGCTTCGGGTTTATCGAACCATTTTTTCTGAGGGCAGATTGGTAATTAATTCCTGGGAAATAAGTTGTTGGAAGTGCTTCTGCTGCTATAGTAAAGAAGAGAAGTAGCAGCAGCAGCACCACAATGGAAGAAGAAGAAAAGGAAGCCATGGTTATTTTGTTTGTGTGTGTGTGTGTGTGAGAAATTAAGGAGATGAGTTTTTTTCTTTTTTTTTTTTTTTCTTTTGATATGATAATTGAAAATGATGTGTGATGATAATTAAAATTCAGCTTTATTTTTTGGCTTTTTGGTGAAGGGATTTTTTTTGTTGGGGAGTGGTGAATGAGTATTTGGGATTACTGGGATGCTTGCATGCTTTTGAGCAACAATGCCAGCTCATGGACCTGGCCATACAATTCTGACAGATTTTACTTGTCTTTTACATGGCTGGTAATTTGAATTTTCTTGATTCTTTTGAGTGCTAAAGGGAATAGTTTTTTTCTTTTTTTACTTTTTTCTTTATTTTTATTTTTAAAGGGATATTACTGTTTGTAACCCTGAACTATGACGTTTGTCCCAAACAGTCCCTTGAACTACAAAATGTAATAAAATGACCCCTGTCATATTCAGTCAACGCTTGAAAAACTAACACCGTTAGTTTTTGTGTGATTTTACTTATTTACCCTTAAATTTGTCTAGAAAATTTGCACCATCACAATATAATCCCATATTTTTAAAGTTATGAGTTATGACATAAACAACAAAAACACTGTGCTTATAATCTTTTCATATTGTTAATCATTTTTCGCGAGATAGCTGTAGAGTGCATAATATGGTTCGCATACATAAAAAATTAATGTATTCTGCGCAAAAATTCATTTAATTAGCAAAATTCTATTTCCATCACCATAACAGGGGAAACATGTACTATACATATTTCAAATCATTTGTTTTTTTTTTTTGAAAAACAACAACAGTGGGCATATGTAACAATCTAAAACTCAAACAAAAGTATTGAAGCATTAGTGTCCGATAAATCTAAATCCCCTTAAATCCATCGACATGGGCATAATTTATATTTTTACCTATTCTAAGAAAAACATAAATCATATTTGCAAAAAAATGTACATAACATGAGAGTTGAGACAAAACAATTTAAAATTAAACCCTTGATAACGAAAAATTGAAAAATTATGATTGAATAACATAAGGAATTGAGGATAAACACAACTACACGCATAAAATACAACTACAAAATGAGGGTTTAGAGATAGGATTTTAATTAAGCAATTACCGTAAAGAAGAAATGAAATGAATTGACTGGATTATTTCTTCGTCTTCTCCATATCTGTTGGGAGAAAAAAAAACCCTACTGGGTCTCTATGTACAAGTAGCATTAAGAAATTGGGAAGAGATTTATTGTCAAAAAAAGAAAAAAGAAAAGTATTTGGATATTGGGAACTGGGTTGGGCTGGAGTGAATACAATAACTGTCCCAATAAATTTCAGAAATACGTAGAAAATTGAAGTGTCCCAATAAATTATATTTAGGACATTTAGGAAAAACGTCTCCAAAAAATAAATGCCCCAAAAGGTTGTATTAACAAGAGAATTTTATCAAGTGTCCTAACAAATTATATTTGAGGCATTTATAAAAAAATGTCTCCAACTATATGTCGCAATATCTATATTTTGTTGTAGTGGTCACTCCACGTCATTTTTTTGTCACATCATCTCAGTGTATCAGCCATATCGGCATTTAACGGCCAGATCGACATCACGTGCGCCACACGTGATATTTCCGTCCAAGTTGACTAACAGAGTTGACGGCAGAACATAAATTATGAAAAGTGGCAAGTTTGAGGACATAAATCGTTTTAGTAGTAAAATATAGGGACACAAACAATAATTTCAAAATGATTTTTATGAGATAAGGCATATATATATATATATATATATGGTTAAAATTCATTTTTGTCCCTGACGTTTAGAGTCAAGATCAAAATAGTTCTTATGTTCCTAATTTTGTTCAACATCATCCTTTGGAAACAATTTTACCGCCAAAAAAGAGCACACTTTACATAATGCCCATACTACCCTTCAAAACCTTGGGGATGAAAATGAAATGTACCTAATTTTGGGTTTAACACATTCTTTTTTTTTTTTTTTTTCTGGCAATTTTTTTAAAATCAAATTTTTGACCAATTTCAAATTATCGTATAATTACTTTATGCAAAGTTTTTAATAATCGTTAATATTTATCTAATAAAACATACACATGATCAAAACTTTCTTTAATATTTGTGTGAAGCCTACCTATTTTTCTCAAAATTTTGGACATACTTAGTTTATAAATCAAATATAAAATGTATATATAAATCAAACCTAATATATATATACATCGTGTGAATCCCAACATATAATAGTAATATACTAATATTTTTGTCAAAATATTAAACATAAACGCTATAATTCTTTGGTTCATATAAATTAGCATTTAATGTTTATTTTTTTATTTGGTTGCAAAATTTCTAAAACATAGTGTTTTGCTAAGTTCTTGGGATATCTATTTTTCATGCATATGTATCAGATATATATGATTTATTATGGCTTAATCCCACTTTGCACCCTCAAAATAGAGTTTTTCGGCACTTTGCACCCTTGAAAAATAATAATAGCACTTTGCACCCTCGCATTAGAGCCTTTCGGCACTTTGCACCCTTGAAAAACAATAATAACACTTTGCACCCTTGAAAAACAATAATAACACTTTGCACCCTCAAAACCCAATAAATCATTCACAATGCACCCTGAATTGAATAATAAAGAGAATTTCATTTTTTATTGCGGGTTTTTTTTTTTCAAAATAACAAATTAAATTGTTAACTTTTTCAACCTCCAACCTAATTTCGTTCGAGCGCAAAAAGTGAGAAAAAATAAAAATCACACCGAATTATTGAAAAAAACTATATTTTCATACAAAATAAAATAATTTTTTTTATCTCTAAATAATTTGATTGATGGATCTTATAATGTAATTGGTGGAAATATTATGTAGAACTATTTGGAAGAAAATATGATTTTCAGGTAACTTGATAACGAAATAGTTGAAGCATTTTTTTTAGTAAAATATTTTTTGTGATAAAAAATATTTTTTTTTAAATATGTTGATGAAATATATTTTTATTTTTATACTTTATAGTTTCGAATAATTGATGAATAAAAAAAATTAATTTCACATTTGGCATCCTAAAAAGAATACCACTAAAAATATTAAATTGTCTTTATTAGCATTATAAATTCATTTGGGGTGCATTATGCATGATATATTGTGTGTCTATGGTGCAAAATGCTATTAATTTATTTCAAAGGTACAAAATATCAAAATGGTATATTTTAAGGGTGCAAAGTGTGATAAAGGAAATTTATTATAGTGTTTAAATAAGTATTATAATTTTAAAATTGTCAAATTAGATATATTTCATTTTCGTCCCCAGAGTTTTGAAGGGCAATGCGGGTATTAAGTAAAATATATTTGATTTTGACAGTGAAATTAAATTTGGAGGATGACATTAAAGCAAATTAGAACCTGACGGACTACTTTGATTTTGACTTTATATATATATATATATATATATATATATCAGTGTTCTAAAAATCGGCCGAGGCGGTCCAAAACCTTTACGATTTTAGTGTAAAGGTTTGAAAAATCGGTTTTGTGCAAGTGAGGAGGTTTTAGGCGGTCTGAGGCGGTCCGAGGCGGTATGAGGCGGTCAAACCTTTAAGGCGGGTCAAACTCCGTGGCAAAAATCGGTCAAAAATCGATTAAAAATCGGTGTTTTTTTTTTTTTTTTTTTTATAATTCAAAATAAAAGTTGGATTTTAATAAAAGAAAATATGAGTTTATGCCTTATTTTGTTTATGTTAATTATTATTGTTAAAGAACTGAATAAATGTTAATTCAAAAATTTTGCTTTTTTATTTATATTTTATAAGGATATTTATGTATTATGATCTTATAATTATTAAACTTTTATTATGTTATTAGGATATCTACATGATGTAACTATGTTTAAATATCTTTTTATATATGTTTGGAGTATTTATAAATAATATTTAGAAATATATTATATTAAATTTTAAAAACCGATTTATTTCCGATTTATCACCGATTAATCACCGCCGCACCGATTAATCGTGAGTCGGTGCCTGACCGACTCGGACCCGATTACCGCCTTTTACAACCTTGATATATATATATATATATATATATATATATATATATATATATATATATATATATATATATATATATATATATATATATATATATATATATATATATATATATGTATATA